TGCCCTTGGCTGGAACTGAACCCAGGAACCTTCCACCTGAAGTCTAACACTCTAACCACTGAGCAAAACTGGTTAGGGCTTGGATTATTTTTTTAATTTCTCTTTCTGATAGTTGGTTTTTGTTGTATAAAAATGCAGCTGATAACTGGATATTAATTTTCTATCCTGCTACTTTACTGAACTCATTTATCAGTTCTAGTAGTTTTCTAAAGGGAGATCTTTAGGGTTCTCTATATACAGTATTATGTCATATGCAAATAATGACAGTTTTACTTCTTCCTTTCCAGTTTGGATGCCTTATATTTCTTTTTCTTGTTTGATTGCTGTGGCTAGAAATTCCGATACTATATTAAACAAGACTGGATAAAGTGGACACCTTTATTCTTTTTTTTTTTTTTAATATATCTTTATTGATTTCAGAGAGAGGGAGAGAGAGTGAAACATCAATGATGAGAGAGTCATTGATCGGCTGCCCCCTGCACGTCCCCAACTGGGGATTGAGCCCACCACCCGGGCATGTGCCCTGACCTGGAATCGAACCCCAATCACCTGGATCTTAGGTCGATGCTCAACCGCTGAGCCATGCCCAGTCGGGCACCCTTGTTCTTATGTTAAAGAAAAAGCTTCAGCTTTTCAGCCTTGAATGTGATGATAGCTGTGGGTTTGTCATATGTGGCTTTTATTATGTTGAGGTATGTTCCCTCTATTCCCATTTGGCTGACAGTTTTCTATCATAAATAAATGTTGTATTTTGTCAAATAATCCATTTTGTCAAATGTTGGGTCTCTTGATATGATTATATAATTTTTAGCCTTCATTTTTTTTTGGTGTATCACATTGATTTGCAGATATTGAACTAAACTTGCATCCTAGGAATAAATCCCACCAGATCATGGTGTATGATCTTTTTAATGTATTGCTGAATATGGTTTGCTAATATTTTGTGAGGATTTTTGCATCTATGTTCATCAGGGATATTGGCCTAAAGTTTCCTTTTTTTGTAGTGTCTGTCTGGTTTTGATATCAGGGTAATGCTGGTCTTGTAAAATGGGTTTGAGAGCCTTCCCTCCTCTTCACTTTTTTGGAATAGTTTAGATGAATAGGTATTAATTCTTCTCTGAATGGTAGAATTAACCTGTGAAGCCATCTAGTCCAGGGCTTCTGTTTGTTGGGAGATTTTGGATTACTGATTCGACTTCGTTGGTAGATACAGGTCTATCTAAATTTTCTGTTTCTTCCTGATTCAGACTTGGAAGATTATATATGTCTAAGAATTTATCCATTTCCTCCAAGTTGTCCAATTTGTTGGCACATAATTGATCATAGTAATCCTTTGTATTTCAGTGGTGTCAGTTATCACTTCTCTTTCATTCCTGAAGACTCTGTGTTGTTTAAAGTCCCTTATGATTTTTATTATTTTCTTCCTTTTGCTCAATTTGGGCTTTGTTTGTTCTTTTTTTTTTTTTTTTTCTAGTTACTTTAGATGTAAGGCTAGATAGTTTAAAGGTTTTTTTGTTTGTTTGTTTCTTAAGGTAGCCCTGTATTGCTATGATTTTCCTTCTTAGAACTGCTTTGGCTGTCTCCCGTGGATTTAGGGTCATTGAGTTTTCATTTTCATTTGTCTTGAGGTATCTTTTGATTACTTTCTTGATCTTGTTATTAACCCATTCATTGTGTAGTAGCATTTTATTTAGTTTCCATGTGCTTGTGTATTTTTCAGTTTTGTTCTTGTCATTTATTTCTAGTTTTATACCATTATGATGGCAAAGATACTTGTTAGAACTTCAGTCTTCTTAAATTTATTGAGACTTGTTTTGTGGCCTAATAGGTAGTCTATTCCAGAAAATGTTCTATGTACACTGCTGCTATGGGGTGAAATGTCCTAGTAACATCTGGTCTAATGTGTATTTAAGACCACTGTTTCCTTTTTTATTTTCTGTCTGGATGATCTATCCATTAATGTCAATGGGATGTTAAAGTCCCCTACTATGATTGTATTACTGTGAATCTCTCCATTTATGTCCATTAATATTTGCTTTATATTTTTCGGTGCCCCTATGTTGGATGAATAAACGTTTACAAGGGTTATATCCTCTTGTTGGATTGATATCTTTCTCATTTTGTAATATCCTTCTTGTTTCTTACTATAGCCCTTGTTTTAAAGTCTAGTTTGTCTGATACAGGTATTGCTACCCCACCTTTTTTTCATTTCCATCTGCATGAAATATCTTTTTCCATACCTTTACTTTCAGTTTGTGTGTGTGTTTTGATCTGAAATGGGTCTCTTGAAGGTAGCATATGTATGGGTCTGGTTTTCTTATCCATTCATCCACCCTATGTCGTTTTTTAAAATCCTCGTTCAAGGATATGTTTTGTTTTCTTTATTTTTAGTTGAAGTTTAGAGAGAGAAGAAGAAAGAGGGAGAGAGAAACATCGATGTGAGAGAAAAATTGATCGGTTTGCCTCCTGCATGCCCTCAGCCAGGGATCGAGCTTTCAATCCAGGCATGTGCCCTGACCAGGAATTGGACCAGTAGCCTTTCGGTGCACTAGGTGATGCCCAATCAACTGAGCTGCACCGACCAGGGCCACCCCATGTCTTCTGATTGGAGCATTTAACTGTTTACATTTAAAATAATTATTATTATTTTGCTGTTG